GCCCCTCGTCATGTGTGTTCTGACAAGGAGGTGTTCTCTGAATACACTCCTGCTAAGGGTCGAAAACTTCACATGGGAAACTCCTCCACGTCTGATGTGGCTGGAGTGGGCACGGTGGTGCTGAAGCTCACTTCTGGAAAGGGATTGAAGCTGAAGGATGTTCTGCATGTCCCAGACATCCGCAAGAATTTGGTCTCCGGATCACTTCTTGTTGAGCATGGATTTAGGCTAGTGTTTGAAGCTAATAAATTTATTCTTAGCAAATATGAAAAATTCCTTGTTCGTGGTTATCTCGACAAGGGATTATTCAAAATGAATGTAATGGTCGTGAACCGTGTAACCGTTGATAATAAAAAGCCTATTTCTGTTTATACTGTTGAGTGCTCTGATTTATGGCATATTAGATTGGGACATGTAAATCTAAATGCAATTAAATGGTTGATGAAATTAGAATTAATTCTTAATTCTAAAGTTGAGACAAATACAAAATGTGAAATTTGTATTGAAGCAAAAATGGCTAAGTTGCCTTTTTACTCGGTGGAAAGAAGTACTGAACCATTAGGCTTAATCCATACTGATGTATGTGATATGAAAAGTGTGCAAACAAGAACCGGTAAAAAGTATTTTGTAACTTTTATCGATGATTGCACAAGGTTTTGCTACTTATATTTGTTAAGAAGCAAAGATGAGGCTGTGGAAGCGTTTAAGATATATAAGACCGAAGTTGAAAATCAAATTCATCAAACGACAACCCCTTATTCTCCACAGTCGAACGGTGTTGCTGAACGCAAAAACTGAACTTTAAAAGAAATGATGAATGCCATGTTGATTAATTCTGGATTACCACAGAACATGTGGGGGGAAGCTGTTTTGACAGCAAATCCTGAATAAAATACCACCTAAAGGGAAAGATGAAACTCTTTACGAAATATGGAAAAATCGTAAGAAGTCTTATAAATACCTGAAAGTGTGGGGATGTTTGGCTAAGGTTTCAGTACTTGAACTAAAACAAATGAGAATCGGTCCAAAGACGGTCGATTGTGTATTTATTGGATATGCGTACAATAGTATAGCATATAGATTTATAGTTCATAAATCAGAAAATCCAAAGATATTTGTCGGTACCACGATTGAGTCAAAGAATGCTATATTCTTTGAGAATTTTTTTCCTATGAAGGAAAGTGCAGAATCTGGTTCTAATAAAAGAACGTATGAAACTGCTAGTGGTACTGTACCAGAGGGTACTGATGAAGAACCGAGACATAATAAAAGGGTAAAAACGGCTAAAACGTTTGGACCTGATTTTATTACGTACATGTTGGACGATGAACCAGGTTCCCTTAAGGAAGCTCTGTCCAGCCCAGATGGACCACTCTGGGAAGAAGCTGTAAATAGCGAAATCGAGTCCATTATGCAAAATCATACTTGACAGTTGGTTGATCTCTCTGATGGTTGTAAACCTTTATGATGCAAGTGGATCCTAAAGAAGAAATATAAAGCTGATGGATCAATTGATAAGTTTAAAGCACGTTTGGTGGTCAAAGGCTTTAAACAAAAGGAAGGGTATGATTTCTTTGATACCTATTCACCTGTTACGCGTTTAGCGTCGATAAGAGTGCTTCTCTCGATTGCTGCTTTGCACAATCTTGAGATTCACCAAATGGATGTCAAGACGGCATTTTTGAATGGTGAATTGGAAGAAGAAATATACATGGAACAACCTGAAGGGTTTGTTGCACCTGGACAAGAGAGAAAGGTGTGTAGATTGATCAAATCCTTGTACGGACTGAAACAAGCTCCGAAACAATGGCATTTGAAATTTGATGACGTGAAGTTGACAAATGATTTCAAGAGTACATCAAATACATCTGTGATTGTATGTCAAAATGTAGACGATATGTTGATCATGGGGAGTAACCATGAAGTGATCATGGATAGGAAAAGAATGTTGAAGAGAAATTTCGACATGAAAGATATGGGTTTGGCTAATGTTATTCTTGGAATAAGGATTATCAGAACCTAAGATAGAATTGTCTTGTCACAATCTCATTATGTAGAGAAAGTGCTCAAGAAATTTGATACCTATGACGGTGCACAGTCTAGGCATATGTGTAAGACACCCCTTGATCTCAGTATAAATCTGGAAGTCAACAAAGGTCAACCAGTGGCTCAGTTGGAATATTCACGGATAATAGGGAGTCTGATGTACTTGACGGATTGTACACGACCAGACTTGACCTATCCGGTGAATAAGTTGAGCAGATTTACGAGCAATCCCAGTCATGAGCATTGGAATGTTTTGAGAAGGGTACTTAAGTACTTGAGGTGCACCTTTGAATACGGGCTAAAATACTCGAGATACCCAGCTGTACTTGAAGGGTACTGTGATGCTAGCTGGATATCAGATTCGAGAGATTCTCGCTCCACTAGCGGATATGTTTTCTGTATTGGAGGAGGTGCAGTTTCGTGGAAATCCACAAAACAAACGTGTATAGCTCGGTCAACGGTGGAATCGGAGATCATCGCTTTAGATAAAACTGGTGAAGAAGCCGAGTGGCTTAGATATTTTTTATCCGATATTCCATGTTGGGATAAGACTTTGCCGCCTGTAATGATTCACTGTGATAGCTAAGCTGCTATAGGTAGCACGCAAAGCAACTTGTATAACGGTAAGTCTAGACATATTCTTCGTAGACATAATACCGTACGTCAATTGATCACACATGGTTTATTTTCCCTTGACTATGTGAAGTCTAAGGAAAATTTGGCTGATCCTTTAACGAAAGGATTGAATAGAGATCAATTGACATTTTTGCTAGAGGGAATGGGCTTAAAAATCCACAATGTAAAGAATGATCATAGTGGTAACCCTACCATGCTGATTAGAGATCCCACGAACTTGGTTCAAAGGGAAAACTAAGCCATGAAAAATCAGTTAAGCATTTGAAACATATGAATGTCCAAAGCTATTCCCTAGAGCACTCCAAGTGCAAGATTACCTGTTGATTGTGGTGAGGGTAAGTCATATGGACTTTTAATGAATCCCTAACTTTGTAAAGGTGTAGTATGGTAGGATACTCTTTATAGGGAGGTCACCTATATAAGTGTGAAGTGTGGGCCGCTTCAAATGTAAACACTTATGAATCCATTATGTTGTCCATGGCCAAAACGGACACATCGATTGAACGGAATGGAGTTAAGACTCTATTGTGTGAATATCATTGTCTCGGTGTACACTATGGAGGAATAGTTAAAGGCATTATGTCCACTAGGCCGCCAGTGCATCCAATGATGTTTACTAAGAAAGGTTCAAAGACAAAAGCTACCTTATCTGATGCAATAGAGTTTTGTGAGGATTGAGCACACTAGTCTATATATATTTAATGAAACTCATGTGGGGGATTGTTATGTAATTGAGTTTCGTTAATTAATGGGTCCCACTATTAATTATAATTTAATGAACAATTTGGCAAAGAAAGCTCAATAATATGTGGAGATTCTTATTCCAATTGGGCAGATGACAACTTGCTTTTTGCTTTGTTAATTGAACTGCCAGGCATTATCTACAAAATGGCAAGGCATTATCTGCTGGCATGACACTATAAATTGGCACTCGGCCAAACAAAGAAATATGCACCAATAAGAAGAGAAAAAAGAGAGGTTAGAAAGAGAGAGAGAAAGGAAAGAAAAGATAGATTTATGTCTAAATATCAGATATAAAAATATCAAAAGAGAGAAACAAGTGATATTTTTATTTATTTTAAGATATTCCTTTTATTTTTAAGTGCTTAATTCTTGACTCCGTTCCCGTTTGCCGGAGCTCGTAAATCTGGTGTGCTACAGATTTAGAGACGTTTGTCGTTGTATCTTTGGGGAAGTTACGCCTGAACCGTCAGCTGCCACACGGGGCGTATTCTTCTTGCGGAAAGAGTTTTACTCGCCTCGGCTAAAATCTTTCTGTTTTTCAGTTGTAATTTATTTTTCAGTTCAATTGTAATTTTTCTATTTTAGATTATATGTAAGAACTGAAAAATACATATCAGTTCATAGGATTCCCGTGTAATTTCACACCAAATATCCAACAGTTATCTACAAATGGTGTATTGACACGTGTCCTGCAATAAATACACATTAAATACGTATCAATACATAAAATTTTTCACAAGAGAATCATCCGATGACTTCATAGCATTTCCCTAAAAAAGTAGGCCGTGTAGCATAGGGTTGTAAACAAATCAAACTTTTTTTGATTCGATTCGTGATTCGAATTCGATATTCGTGATTCGAATTCGAAATATTCGAATTCGAATTCGAATTCGAATGATGTTTTAGATTCGAAATTATAACGAATTCGAATTCGAATGTGTAGATATTCGATTCGTTAACAATAATTATACAAATTTTACAAATTATACATAATATACATTTTGTTTATAATATATGTATATATATATTGTTATATTCCTAATATTTTTATGACATAAAAAGTAAAAACATCATAAATTAACAAATTTTTCTAAAAATATATGAAAAATAAAATTTATTTTTGTAATTATAATATTTTTATACAAATAATATATAATATACATTTAGTTTATAATATATGTATATATATATTGTTATATTCCTAATATTTTTATGACATAAAAAGTAAAAACATCATAAATTGACAAAATTTTCTAAAAATATATGAAAAATAAAATTTATTTTTGTAATTATAATATTTTTAATTATAATATTTTTTTGAAAATGAATTTCGAATCGAATCGAATATGTTCGAATATTCTAAACGAATCGAATACGAATCAAAAAATGAATTCAATATCGAATCGAATCACGAATCGAATCTTCGAATATTTTAAACGAATCGAATCGAATCTCTGGGTATTCGCTTTGATTCGATTCGTTTACAACCCTAGTGTAGCAATTCACCAACTAAAATAAACGGAAACTTTATCTACAAAAAAGAAACCCATTCCGAGTTATCCGCCACGGCAAAAATGCACGTTATCCAGGCCCTTTCCTTCCTCACGACCTCTCTTCCTTCCAAACCCCTTCTTAAACCCCCGGCAGCCCACAAATCCCATTTTCCCGCCAGACGCCTGAACTTACATCTTACCTACTCCTACTCCTCCGACGAGTTCCCCGTCGGCGACAACGACGCATTCCTCGAGTCCTTCGGGGTCAAGTCGACAGAGTCCGAAGAGGATGCCCGCAGAAAGAACTGGATCGAGAGGGGATGGGCCCCTTGGGAAGAGATCCTCACCCCCGAAGCCGATTTCGCCCGGAAGTCCCTCAACGAAGGCGAGGAGGTGCCCCTTCAGACTCCCGAGGCACTCGAGGCTTTCAGGATGCTGAAGCCCAAGTACCGGAAACAGAAGATGAAGGAGATGGGCCTCACGGAGGATGAGTACTACGCCAAGCAGTTTGAGATTAAGGGCGAGATCCCGGAGCCTTTGAAGACTTTGTGGAGTGGGCCGTTGGTGTTGGGCCTCGTGCCGCCCAGAGATTGGCCGCCTAGGGGTTGGGAAGTGGACAGGGAGGAACTGGAGTTCATTCGTGGGGCCCACAAGCTGCATTCAGCCGTCAGGTTGGATTATGAGAAGCTGGACGAGAGGGCGGAGAAGGTGAAGGATACGGGGGATATGAGCTTCGAGAGGTATAAGGTGTTCTTGAAGCAGTACAACGAGTGGGTCGAGGCCAACCGGGATAGGTTGGAGGAGGAATCCTATGAGGTTGGTTCTGGACTCTGTGATTCATGAATAGCATTTAGTTGTTTTTATCTGAGCTCTTTGTGGGAACTTATGGTGGTTCGTGGATAGGATTTAGTTGTTCTTTTCTTAGCACTTTGTGTGTGTTAGTGATTGGATCAAAAAATGAATTCAGCTGGTTTATCTGTATATGTTAGAAGTCACGACGATACTCTGGTTTGCTAGAAAAGCTTGAAAATTGTTTGCTTCAAGTTGCCTGCATAGGCACTCTGTTAATGGATAATTAATGATCTGTAAGCCTTTTTGTTTGTATAAAATGGGCATATCCAGGTTACTTCGCTGTTGTTCGTGGTAATTAACACATAGTGTAGAATTTCAAACCATGGTTCGAGTGTTATTGGAATTTGGTGTACATGTGATTGTTAAATCAAGGTAAAGAGGTTTTGGTAAAAGTAACATATGCGCGCCCTTTACCTCTTTGTGTCTATGTGTGTAGAAGAAAGTAATTATTTATACTATAAGGAAACTTACAAATTTTGCGACTTGTACAGCAAGACCAAGATTATTATCCCGGCAGGAGGAAAAGGGGAAAGGATTATAAAGAGGACATGGTAAGCAGAATATTATGCTTTATTCTACTTACTATTTATTAAATTTTCTTATGTTTCCCCCTCCTGCCCAGAAGAAAATATATAACGTTACATATCGCAACATTTCTAATACAATATTTGCCTTGTTTTCCTTTTCCTCTGATTTGTTGTGGACCTGCAGTATGAGCTTCCCTTCTATTACCCCGAACAAGTAAGTACATCTTTCATAACAGATGCAGCTGAATTTTATTGACGTGTACTTCTTGCTAATATGTTTATTATTTGTTTCTATGCGTAAAGTGTGGCGTTTATGCTCAAAATTTCACACTGCTCGCTTTCTATTTCTTCTTCTTCCTCTTAGTTTCAATTTTTTTTTTTTGTTTTTTTTTGTTTTTTTTGTTTGTTCTGTTTTCTGCAATTTTGTTTACCTCCATAGTAAACAGGGAACTGGAATGTTTACTGTCTTCTGTTTATTTAATCTTAACCTATGTAGTCTTATATCTATTTTGTTAGACCCAAAATTGAAACGTGCGAAATAATAGTTGATTTTTCTTGGTTCCTGCCAACGGTGTGAATTTTACCTTTCTTTTGGGTTATATTGATTTGCTTTAGTTCTTATGTTAACTAGAGTTTTTGTTTGTAGCTCAGTTGCTTTTCTTAGCTTTATTTGAAACTATGTCATTTAAATCTATGATTATTCGTAATTTATTTATGGATTCTGTTAAGGTGCTTCGATTAACTTGGTAACCTGAAATCTTGACATACATTTTTTAGTATATTAGAATTGAGAAGAATTAGATCTGCATAAGAAAGAAAACAGAATGTGTAATGGATGTGCTGTGATTGATTGCCTGCATTAAATTTCTCTTAGTTTTATTATTGATTTTCTTGATTAAAATTTTAAATTACAAGTTGATGAGATGTTCTTCACTTTTCAGTTCATCCGGGAAAGAAATGCAGGCAATCATGATTGTTTTTTTTTTTTTCCCAGATTTGTGCAGGTAAAGTAACAGCTATACACCTTTATCAAGGAGCATTTGTTGACATTGGAGGCGTACATGATGGGTATGCTCTCCTTTTCAGTCAATCATATAATATGAACCTGACCTGCAGTTGTTTAGACACTTTTTTTTGACAACCCTGCGGTCGAGTTTGAGTATTGGCATCTGACTGGTTGAATATAATGTATTCTATCCTAAATGGTTGACTAGATGGCCTTTAGTCTACATTAGTAATGTTGAAATTCCAGTAAAGCTTCCCTTAAATACATCAGAAACATTCAGGTAGCTAACCATCGATCTTTTGGCCCAATTTCTGTAAAATTTCAGATAAGTTTGCCTTGAGCGTTAATTGTTACAAAGAAGTATTACCCACCGTTATTAACCATTAACCATCACGTAATCACGACAGACTAACCAGATAACAGTGACTCATTTTTATCATATATATATCAATTAATCATGAGTGAAAAATGCTGCTCCTTTGATAGTGTAGTAATGAATTTCAGGTGGGTCCCAATCAAGCGGAACGACTGGTATTGGATCCGACATCACATCAAAGTTGGCATGCATGTCATTGTTGAGATTGTGGTGAGTGTGTCTGCAATGTATCACTGGCCTCTTTTTAGTTCTTTAATTTGCACTTTGTTGCTCAATTCTGATAGGATTCGGAACTTCATTTAGACAGTTTAATGAGAAACAAGTATTGCCCGTGAGAGAGAGAAGGGTTCCATGGGTGAAACAGCTATAGTTTCAGACCTTAATCCTAAAGCAAGAACCCAAACAGCTTCTGATATTATTATGGAGACTTGGCCACATATACTATAAAAGTAGATGCTTTGAATTAGGAATGACAATGACTGTTGATTTCCTCTCAGAGCAATCTAATGATGCTTTACATTCACAGTTTATGACTTGCTTTATCTGTATGATTTTTGAGTCAAAATGAGCAAAACCCCCAGTACCTCCTTTGATCCGACGTGTAATCAACAGAGGATGATAAGAATCACATTGCATTTGTTTCATGATTTCATCCAATAATCTGTAACATTTATTAGCCCAAAAATCTCATTGGTGGCTATCCGAAAAACGGGAGAGCAAGTAGCTGGTTTTCGAACTTACATAGTATAAGATGGTACCTACTTAACAAATTGTAATTGTGGTGACCATTATATGCTCATTTGGCACTTGTTATTGTTAAGCAATCAGACATCCATTAATATGGTATGCTGAGCCATTTTGAATACTTCCCTTCACCTGCAGGCAAAAAGAGATCCTTATCGATTTCGATTCCCTATTGAGCTACGGTTTGTCGACCCCAATATAGATCACCTAATGTGAGTTTCTTAAATTCTCAAACTTACAGTTTTGGGGCACTATATCTCCATATATGTGGTCAATCTTCGTAGGAATTATTTTTCTCTTTATCAGTCAGACTCTATACTTTTTCTATATGTGAACAGTTGTATGCGCCCTGCTTGTTAGAAGTATGATCAATATAATCTACTTAGTTTGCAGCTCAACAATTTCATAATTGTGCTTGCAGATTCAACAAATTTGATTATCCCCCAATATTTCATCGCGATTCTAATCCAGATGAACTACGAGTGAGAACTTCCCTACTCTGCGGGAAATCATTTTTCTTTTTTACTATTTCTTATTTCTGAAGTTTGTTCTACTACCTATACGCAAATAAGAAATGAAGTGTCCGTATGTCACGACAAGTAATTTAGTGATTTATTATATGAAAAATGTAGCATCTTCAGATTCTAGTTTGTAGAGTGAAATGGTTACATGGACGTAAATGATCTAGCATCTGCAATTACATCTTTTATAAGTAGTATAGGATCATCAACACATGTTTCTGAGCAATGACATTATTCTTGATCAAAGAGAATGTAGGCTTTGGCTATCCATGGAATATTTGAGCATGTCTGCTGCTTCGACTTTGTTATGAAATTTATTATTTTGTGTATCGATGCTCCACACCATTTTTTTTCCCTTTTTCACTGTGTATATGTTGGAACATGCATATAATATCCTATTCTTTTTATTGACTTTTCCGACAGGATCTTCAAGCTGCTTTCAGTTTTATATTTATTTGCCTTTTTTTGTGCATCCTTTTTTGTAGCGTGACAGTGGAAGACCTCCTATACCAAGAAAAGATCCTGGAATCAAATGGGAAGAGGAACCTCTATTGTCAAATCACCCATATGTTGATAAGGTATTTTTGTGTATCTTCATTTGATTAAACTGTACTGTATTACACTGATTCCAAGATGCATACTCTTCCATTATACTATGAAAAATTATTTTAAAGAGTCCTGTGGAAGTACACATTCTATATAACTCTGATACATCTTTGCATTGCTGCATGTAAAATCACTTTCTATGTTCCCAAATGGATAAGTCACTAGATATCTTTTTTATTTTGGCACTCGTATTTGCTTTGAGTTCTTTAGACGTTTTGTATATACCTACATTTTTACTACACCATAGCATATTTTCTACTTCTGCATTTTGCTAATGTCAACTTGAGCTATTGTGCTGAACTTTGCTTAGCACAAGAAAACTAGAGAGTTCCAAATGCATAGACAACGACATGAGGTCTAATACCTGACAATTTGGACTAATGGAAAAGCAATTTAAATTGCCCAGTAATATTTTACTTGGCTAATCTGATTCAATGTATGGATGATACTTTTACTACTCAAATGTGAACTGCAGTTTTTCGTTAAAACAAATAAAAATTACTAGGACTAGCTTGAACAAATTTGGTATAAGATATAATATGATTGCCAGTCCTCATATCAAAAACCAGTTTTAGCTCAGCTTGCTTTAATTTCTCCACAGACTAAGAAAGATAGATAGCCGAGCCCCTGGAATTACACTGAATGAGAAACGAGGATATTTTCATCACATCTTTGATATCAGCATTTATTTTTTTCTTCCTTCGGACTAGCAATAGTCGTGGTTGCTTCACAAAAGTGACATGATACTTGGTACAATTTAAAATTAGGTAGTCTGTAATGAAGTTCTGGTGAGATGCTCTCTCTTGGGCCTTGACACGATAAACCAAGTTGAATCAAGTAGTTTCGGCCTTGATGTAAACTGAGATAACAGAAGCGCGTGCATGTTATACTTGTCTAGAATTTACGTGATCCCTGAATCAAACAATATAGGTTGTACTCCGAAATCACTTCAGTGTCATACTGTTGGAAAGAGGTTATGGATAAGGTTGCATATGAAGGATGGTCTCAGATTCCATATTTTAAGACTTGCTAATAATTTTGCTTTTCGGGACTTAGTCAGGCATCCTCTGGATTAGAACTTTTAATGTTGAGGATGATAGACAACGATGGCACATCACATTCGCAGCATAATCTTGATAATTAATAGGTAACCTTGATAATGAGTTCATACATGATCATATAAATTGGAGAACTTTAGAATATGACAGACAATCTAAGAAAAGGTTTTGAGGCAACTCTCTACAAATGTTGGAGGTATGCATTTTTGTAACTCAGCATGTCGGATGTGTTGCTTTTGAAGTTTGGAGGTGTTTTTTCTTATTCCCTCGTCCAAAGGTCTTTGTTAAAACCGACTTTAACTCTTTATGAATTTTTACCGATTTAGATTAGACCATATCCAGTACCAGTTACTACTCTGCATGGCCTCAGTTATATTTGGCTGGATAACAAGCCTGCATTTCTTCAAACAACTTGCACTCTGGAAAGCAAAAAATCACATTATGCTTTTACATGTATGAGTGTTGTTCTGGAATTCATTCGAGATGTGAGTAAAACTTGGGCCGCTATTTAGAATTTTTGTTAGCACAGCCATTTTCTGTTGCACAATTGAAGCTATATCCTTGTTATTTTGTGTTCATTTGCAGTTATGGTTGATACATAATGCTGAGCAGATGATCCTTGATGATATGAGGGCCAATCCTGATAAGTATAAAGACAAAAAGTTAACGGAGTTGACTGATGAAGAAGAGTTCGATGAAGAGAATAGTGTTGAGCATGGAAAAGCATACTATAAGAAAGCACTACTCCCAAAAATAACGCTGGTAATGATTCTTCTTATTCTTCTTTTCTTTTTAATATTAATTTATTTATTTATAGTTATTATCATTATTATTATGATGTTGTTAAGAAATTGTGCCTTTGAATTGTTAATGTGACAAAGCTTGTACTCCATGCCAGAAAATAAGTGTAAAGGAGCTTGATCTGGTAGCTGCACATGCTGAACGACAGGTTTGTTAACCACCTGCTTATGTTTTTCTTATGAAGCCATTCGTGTGAGTCTCAACCAATGAATTAAGAAATGTGATAGTGAACTTGTGAAACGGTTTTCACCACAAACATCATGGATAATGCAGAACTTTGCTTTAATATTCGAAGTTCTGTAAATAGACGAAGTACAGAAAATAGGATTGCATCAGTAAGTGATTCTGGTTTTTATATTACTTCAACAAATATTGACCTTGGTTGGTAATGATAGAGTTGGGGTCAAAATTAGAGGTTTGATCCGTCAAATTCTCTAATGAAGTTGTTGGTAAATAGCTGCTCTAATTAGCTTGGACAGAAAAAAGTTGATGTCTTAATTGATCTCGGTCACTGTTTAGTCAGGTGAAATGTGCGTATTGTAGTACCACTAACTTCACATGTCATTTTTAAAGTTATCAAGTTGGCATATTGGATGAATAATTATAAAGTACTGGCTTTTACGGTTACATGCTAAAGCAATTTGCAGCTACTTTAAGAGGTTATATGATCTAGAATAAGCATAAATGAGAGGCATTTTGGATTATCTTAATGGAACCATAAATATATTGCCTGAATGGTTATCTCTCAGTATACCAATTTACTACCTAATCGTCTGGTAAGTGATCGTTTGATTCAGTATTCCTGTATCGATGAGAATCCACGCTTTCAGAACCTGTTTATGCATCACATGGCTTGCTTTTAAAAAATAATCAACTAATGAGAGATGCCTTTGGCCCTTTCTTGATCTTTGTTTCTATTGTGTTTCAGGTCCACACAAGACTATGGAAAGAAGCTGCAGAAAGAGGAGAGGAATACAAAATCACCAAGCTAAGGCGAAACGAGGAAATGGACGAATATGACTTCATTCACTGGCGCCGATCATTTGAAGAAAGAGAAGCCCTCCTCCGGGATATTAGCTGGTGTGTAGTCGATAAATTTAACCACATTTTATTTATTGATAATTGATCTATCATTAGCCCCGTACTTTGAGTAAACTTATTTCAGATACTCATAGTTTTTGTCTCATTCTAAAAAAAGTGCAGCCGGCAGGCAGTGGGGCTTCCTCTGGAAGAGCCCGGTAGGTACGTGGACCCCAGCTACTTTGGAAAAGACGAATACGACCAGGATAACCCCCTTTACCGATACGACTACTGGGGGGAGCCCAAAAATTCGGAGAAGAGCAAGCAAGACCGCATGATGGATGCCCACAACAAGTCTATTGTTGGCAAGGGTACTGTTTGGTACGAGATGTCATATGAGGAAGCCATCAAGCAGCAGGAACATAGGGAAAAGCTTGGGATTAAACCGAGGGTGTATGATGACGAGGATGACTCAGACAGGGATTCAGATGAAGATGATGATGATGATGACGACGACTTTGACTTTGACTACAGCATCTTGGGCTCCTCAAGTGCCGACGAATCTAACCAGTCGCACGTAAATGGGACAGAATCTTCCAGGTTGTCCGAAGAAGGAAGCTTTGAAGATTGAGCATGGTGTCATGCAAGTTTTGTTAGGTGAAGAGGGCTGTTAATGCTGGGGAAATACTTTAAAACAGATCTTGTTAGTAAAGGGTGAACTGAACAATGGCATTCCTTCAAGGCAATGCTGTTTCTGCTGAGGGGATTGTTAGAATTTAGAAGTTATATCTTCAAAACAACCATCTTGTCCAAATATATATATAAAAAAATAGTGTAACGCTGCACTGTGGTCATGTATTGAACTTTTTCAATTTTACGTGTTTCCGATATTGTTACGTATTTTTCTCATTAAAATGGTTTAAAGGGGTCAATATTGGTCAATAAAGGCTTAATGACTTTTTTAATGGTGAATTTTTTCATTTTCATTATTTTCTTTTTGAAAATAGAATAATATTAAACCAAAATCAAATTTTAACCATCTCGAATATTTTTATATTTCACGACTGTTAAGATTATTGTTAGGTAGGTCTAACGGTTAGATAATCATACTTTTTTTAATAGATAACATGAAAAAAAGTAGACATTTTATAGTACTAGTGTACATTTTTGTTAAAACAGTATGACGAGTTGACCCGCCTAACGATCGATTCGCTTCAGTCAAGAATTTGTGTTTTAGGATTCATGTTGGATAAAAAAAGATGTAAAAATAAACTTTCTTCTACAAGAAAGAAATATCATTGATCAATCAAAATACCTATTGGATTTCATAAACCACTAGTACGTGGCTCATGTGATGCACGAGGAAGCAAGATGAGAAAATTACACCGTTTACCTACAAATTTATTTTTATTTGTAGGTATACAAACTTTTCAGTTGAGTTCTCCTTGTGAAATTTTTCTTCTCTAAAGATTTGTTCCACTTTGTTGGATAGTTGATCTAGGGTTTCTTCTTCTCTTTGTCTCCTTTCTCTTCGTAATCGTATCTCCCTCTCCTTTTCACTTCTCTTCTTTCCGTTTCACCTTTAGCTTTTTAGGTCAACTCTTATATATCATTCTCTAGGTTTCTGGATCCATATTTTCCATCTTCCATTTTGTTCCTCCGCGAATTTTTCGCCGGTATGGCTGTCCTTCTGTCTTTGAGATGGAGCAAGAAATATCCGATCGCATGCTCAAAATTAAGCTGTCGAAGAAAGAAGTCGAGAAATTCAAACTAGCTAATTCAGATATTGCTATCGGGCTCAGTCTTATAGGGAACAATTTTGGGAAAAAAAAATCAATTTCAATGGATTAAAAACTACTCGGAGCAGCATTTGGTCCACCTCTAAACCTTTCACAGTCAAGAACCTGGGAACCAATAAATTTC